GAGCCGTGGGCCTTGTCTTTTTACCAAGGTTTGGAAATTGGAACTCCTTGGCCTCTCCTTCGATCAAGAGACCGGAGGAGTGACCGCACACATTGTATATACATGTCTGACAAAAGTGACCTGGCCAGTTATTCGCAAGTGGGCTAGGGAATAGAGACCGGGCTGTACGGCTATTGGGGACATTGTCTACAATGAACTATAGTGTGGTGGCTGTGGAGGGCGGCTGGATTCGATGCTGCACACCAGTTTCTTGGTGAACGTGGTGGTTGGGAAAGACGGTCCTTGCAGGACTGTTTGTGTGATGCGTGACTGGTATAGGAGCCACTAGATAGACAAGAGTGTGAACAGGACAAACGTCGTTTGAAAGGACTCGTTTCTTTTATTTTTCCCTTCTCACGAGCTGTATTTTTTCCCTCCTTTTGGTAGGCTGCAGTGTGTATGCCTCTCCCCTTTTTCTTTTCTTGCTTTCCTGGTGACGAAATGTGTGGCCGTCTATTCTTTTTCTTTTTTTTCTTTTTCTTTTTTGTTTTGCCCCGGAAGAGGACGAAAATGACCCCACGTGCCCTCTGCGACGCTGCCGGGGTTTCAACCTCCTGATGAATTGGTGAAAGTCTGACGAAACAGTCTCGAACAGTCATTACTTTTGTATGGAGATGTGTATATGCAGTCATGAGACAACGCACAACACACAACACAACACACGTGACACGACAAACACGTCACACGACACACACAACACACCACACACAACACACACGACATACACAACACACAACACACACAACACGGACAGTTGGTGCTTCCCTCTATTTTTGTTCTTACGGACTGAGAAAAACTTTATAATATCTGTGCCAGTGTGCGGCTTTGGCAGCAGATGGGTGTGTGCCTCTCAACCACACAAATGTGGGGAACCTTGCATTTTCTGTTATATTGCCCACCTTGTTTCATAGATGGTCAGTGATGGTTTGTGGGGCGAGAGAGAGAGAGAGAGAGAGAGAGAGAGAGAGAGAGAGAGAGAGAGAGAGAGAGAGAG